CTTTAAAAAAAAAGAAAAAATAGTAACTTTAGAGAAACCTGCAGACACCATCTGCATCAAGTGATTTAGGGAAACCTCACCAGTAATAAGATGCATCAACATCAGCAACCCGCTGGTAAGATTCACTGAAAAGAGCACATCACATGACCACCATCTAACTAACAGACAACATTGGACAAACTCAAATTGGGGGAAAGTCTACAAAATAAATGACCAGTATTCATCAAAAGTGTTATTAAGGTCATGAAAAACAAGGAAAGACTGAGGAAATGTCACTCACTGATTGGAAAACTACACGGACATGACAACTAAATGTAAGGTGGAATTCTGTAATGGATCCTGAAACAGTAAAAAGGACTTCAGTGGAAAATATGTGAATAAAGTCTGTAGTTTAGTTTTAAAAACAAAACAATTCCTGGACTCCACGACCCCCTTCAGTTCTGATTCAGTCTGTCTGGGAAATCTATATTTACATTTAAAGCTCAGCAGAGGTTCCAGTGACCAGAGTTGGGAATCAATGTCCTTGGGGATCATCATCCTTGGCTGCCACCAGGATCACTGAGGAACTTGAGGAATCCCAATGCCCCAGATTACAAGTACTTTTAAAACCCCTAAGTTGCCCCAAAATGGCAGCTTATCAAGCTATGTCTAATAACCACAAGAAGTGGATCAATTCCCAGTCCCCTCTTAAAAACTTCAGTGCACAGGGAATGAAGAGAATTGAAGGGTATACTTCCTGCTCCTCTCCTGCTTCACTTCTCCTGAAGGAATTACTTTTCCAATATAATTTCAATCTTATGACTGAATATCAGTCTATAATGGTTATGATTTCATGCTTTATTAGAATATAAAAGATGACAAATGACTTTTACAACCTCAGCTATTGCCCCTTGACCTAACTAAAGATAGCCTCTCTATCTGCATTCAAGTGTTCAGATAAGTCTCAGAAAATGCATAACATTCTAGAGATTACACAAGCTCTCCCTTCGTGTTTTCCTGGGAGTTAGGCAAATTTCTGATGAAGGCCTTTTCTACACACAGATATGGGCTAAGGTTAAGATGCTATACCAAGGGCATACAAAGTTCTAAACATGATTTCATCAGAGTTAAAACAATACTCTAATAAAATAAGATCAACATATTGTTATTTCTACCCTATGAAAAATATCTTGTCCAAATGCCTTATATCAGCGGTTCTCAACCTGTGGGTCGCGACCCCTTTGGTGGTCGAATGACCCTTTCACAGGGGTCGCCAGGTACTCATATGTGGGCGTATCTGCATGTGGGCCTGGAGACGGATAGAGGAGCGGTGTCTCGGTTCCTAAGACCATCAAAAATATGTGTTTTCCGATGGTCTTAGGCGACCCCTGTGAAAGGTTGAGAACCGCTGCCTTAAATTAAGGAAGAGAGCTTAGACAATGGGTCTAGGTTATGCAATAGGCTTCATAGAAAAGACAAAAAGAGAAATATTTTTCTAGAATAAGCAGCAAAACAGTAAAAAAAACCCCTACTCTCTCTATACAACACATGCAAAAATTATTTACTCTAAGATTGATGTCTATAATTTTTCCTTCAGTAGAACTTGGTTGGTTTTGAATATTTAATACCTAAGATATAAGTGTAAAACAAAAATCATATTAAAAGATAAGTATTTTTCCAAGAAAGTTAAGATTTTTATTCAGATCCTTTCAGAGAGCTGTGCCCAATTCCTCGAGACTGGACCCTACTACACCTGATTTTTTGAGACATCTAAAGACACAGTGATGGAATTATGACTTTTTTCCTAGCACAAAACTGAATGCCCAGCACCTGGATCAGATCTACACTACTGGGCTTTTTCCTAACCAGTTAAGTAAAGCTCAGCTAACTGAGAGTACATAATTAGTACCAAGTATCTGGGCAAACTAAAAGGTAGTATTTATATAGACATCTGCTGGATATCTGTCCCGTTATATTACTCACAAAATGAGAGCAGCAAACAATTCAGACATTTTAGTAAATGCAGATAAAAAATTTGTGAGCATCTAGCAGACTCAGTGTGGCACAATATTTGCCGAATGAAGAGAACTTTGTTTTCTTTAAATTAATTGTTCAGTCATGCACTCTACAGTATTGTGCAACAGTTGTGTATGCATGCATTTTAACTGTAAGCCATCTCTGAGTCTTTCCTTTTGAAAACAAATGAAGGCATAAATATCTGAGCTCATCTGTGGCATTAGGATTAAAAGAGGTAAACAAGTTTTGAAAACAGAAAAATTCGAAGAGAACCCTCCCCCACCCCCCAAAAAAACACTGCCTAACTAGTAACACCATCCTATTTATGTGAGGATATGCAACAAAATATTTAATCAGTTTTGTGAACATTGTCCATACTGGACTGGAGGAAAAGTGTTTGGTTTTGAACCCATTCAACCTAGTGCTGTTCTAGTATTCGGTAGCAGCAGGGAGTAATGACAAAAGTGCTAAGGTGGGAGGGGCAACTTTTCCATCCTCCCACTGAGGGTTTACTGAGGGTTTCCTCAGTCTTAAGCACACTGCCCCAAGCCACACACTCTGCCTTACAGAGTGAATTGGTATCTTCTACCACTGTTTATGTTACTAAATCTTGTAAATAATATAAAAAATTCTCTCTGAAAAAAAGTGGGCTGTTGGGACTCAACCACACAAGTGCCCAGGTCCTTTGATAAAGAGAGCAGAATACAGGGCAGCCGGTTAGCTCAGTTGGTTAGAGCACAGTGCTCATAACACCAAGGTTGCCGGTTTGATTCCCACATGGGCCACTGAGATGCACTCTCCATAACTAGTGAAACTAGTCAACTTAGAGTCAGGGAGGCTGGTTAGCTCAGTTGGTTAGAGCACAGTGCTTATAACACCAAGGTTGCCGGTTCGATCCCCACACCCTCCACAACTAGCTAGAAACAGCTACTTGACTTGGAGTTGATGGTCCTGGAAAAACACACTGTTCCCCAATTAAAAAAAAAAAATCCCCTGCAAAATATATATTAAAAAAAAAAAAAAGCGCAGAGTTGGACAAGGATGGAGACACTTTGCCTCCAAGGCTTCCTGGAGTCCCCTACAGCTGGCAAGGATGTGAAAACCTAATCAAGGTCAAGTATCACGAACAGGTTTCATAACCTCTGTGCACAGGGTTCGCATCTTTAGTAAGGAATGGCGAGATGCCTCCTAGTGTCCCTTCCAACTCTAAACCACAGAAAGACTCCATTCTAGAAGCATTTCTTAGGATTACACATTTGGCTAAGAACTCATATAATACATTCTTCTCTAATTTAAAAAAATGCAATCAAGGTAATTTAAAATAAGTGGGGATAAAAAACACCAGCTGATTTTGGAACTTCAGGGTATTTGAGTATGAAACAATTTGGCTTTTTCCTCACCAAATAGAGGAATTATCTTCACTGTTTAGAAATATGAAAACATGATTTTAAAAAATATATTCCCAATTTTTAACAAAGCACAGAAGTCTTTTGTTTCAATTATGAGATGTATACATGTACATTCCAAACACATAAAATCATCTTCTTTAAGCTAGAGACTTTCACCTTCTAACAAGAGGTGTGCCCAGACAGCATGACTAGTAGGGAGTGCCCAGGTCACTGAGGGCCTGAACTCTGAGGATCAGTTCTCTCCTCCTTGCCACCCACACACCCAGGTTATAAAGTCTAATAACTCCTATGTCATTAGTACAGCTTATTAAGCAGATATCAAATCCAATGTCCTGAACTCTAGCCATTCAGAAAATCCAAGTTTCTCTTTACCATAAAAGGGTACTGATAATAAAATGCAGCCTAATTAAACACCCACTGTCCCGGGCTAGAAAATACCAGCAGCAGGAAGCATAAAAACTTCTTCCTATGATGGGTGGTTTATGTTAGTGCTACTCACTAAATGAATTTTTTAAATATTTCATAAAGAGTCAACTATGTTCACTATTCTCCCTTCTGACTTTTACAACAAAAGTGCAAGAATCCACATGTATATCCACTATATACTATAAAATGCAAATTTCAAAAGTAAATTGCCTCTCAGCAGTAGCACCTGACTTGCATTCATATTCAATTTCCAGATCCATCAGTTCCTGAGAACCCTGAAAAAGTACACTCACCAACGGACCCAAAAGCAAAAAGCAAAAAATGTGATGACATTTTTTAAATGTGATAACAATTTGCATAACTTTAAAAATTAAATCAACCCCATTATGTGCCAAGGATTTTACAAATTGTCTAACTTTTGTCTTATTTAACACTTGTTTTCATAAAAACATACACACTTAATTTTCTAAAAAGTGGCTTTACCTCACTGCGTTTACTTTAGATTATTTCTTTAAAGGAAAAGGCTCCATAGGTGGAGTTAAAGTATATTGTCCTTAATTTGCCTGATTTTGTTTCCTTAATGCAGACTTCTAGATCTTTAAGTTTTACATAACTTGTTCTGTATCTTGTAAGAGAGAAAACCCTAGATAAACAAACAAACAAACAAAAAAACAACTCAGGTAATATTCATTTTCTCCATGTATTTCAAACTTACAAGTTTTTTTTGTTTGCACTCATATGAGAAAAAAAAGACTGCAGAACAAAAAAAACCATAAAACTTTTAAATGTTTCATTCCTTAACTACTGCACTTAGATGAAAAGAGAATGATGGAACCAGATACATTTAGTTTGAAATCCAGTTTTTAAAAAATTCTCATTTTAAAGCATCAACTTCATATTTTTTCTATGCAGAAAGTTATTATTTGTTAACTAATAAACAGAAAAAGGTAGAAAGATGGTGTAACATGAATGACGGAGAGCAGGTGGCCAAAGATGTCTGTTGAACTTAACATTTAAAAGTTAATAAAATCCCTTATGACACTACATTTTCCAAAGAAAAGGCATTAGTCATTTGCCTTTTGGTGGGTGTCCCCTCCCCCCACCTTCTCTCAGTACTATCCAGATTGAGCAAGCAAGCAAGAGACCAGGACATCGGTGGACGTAACTCACCAAGATACCAGCAGGGGCCTTTCCATGGTAAACATCTTCAGTTTTACTTAGTAAGCCTTCATGAACCTTCTCTTCATCTTCACTATCATCTTCTAAGTAAAACATCTTAAAATTGAACTACCTGATCAAGCATGTCTTTTTTCAAAGATGAAGGTACACTTCTAAATTATCAAAAAGGAAAGCTGCTCTGCTAACAAACTGCAGACACAGTAATATGGTTAAAACAGAAAGGAAATGGTTCTTAAAAAAAAACAAAAACAAACACAGCAATATACACACGGCTTTACCAATAAGATTTGCTCTAAATGCCTCAACTCCTTCTCTCCGAAGGAGATAAGCAGGGGCATGGGACAGGCTGTGCCATGTGTTTACACTGATAGGTACCAAGTCCTGCCCAATGACATGACGGTCACTGCAGCTTCCATCACACGGGACAGGGATTGAGTTAATAATTCTCTAAATCAATCACATCCTCATTTTTAGAAATAAAAACAACTATATATATGGAAAATAATCTTATATAAATTAGTCATGTAAGGGAAAATAGTTTACATATATTTTAAGCATCAATGAGTTTCCCAAAGACAGCCAAGTTTTATATATATATAAATATAAATATAAATATATATATATATATATATATATATATATTATAAGAACTCAATTACCAAAAATTTTTTTACTTTTGTCATATTGGCATAACCTAATATATTTTCACAATTCTGGAAGGGAGATAGCCTGCTCAGCATTGTAAATAATGAGCAAATAGTAGTAATAATAATTTTTTAATATATGTTAACATAATATTAATTATATTGTTATTATAATAGTTATATAGAAATACAATAATGAACAACTTAACATATGACAATGCAACACTGTAAAATTCAAACATTCTTGGTATTTCCTTTCCAGCTCTAAGTCAACATACAGTAACTTCAAGTAAATTGTTTGAAAAACCTAAGACACACTTAACACACGGACAAAATATATTAATTCTTAAATTAAAATATACTATTTTATTCATCAGTATCTAGGACTGTGCTGTTCATTACAAATAGCCATTAGGCACATGTGACTATATTTGCAATTTGGCTAGTACCAATTGAGATGTGCTATTAAGTATAAAATACACACTTAAAATGAATACAGATGTGAAATAGTCTCATAATTTTTTATATACTGTATAGGTAACATGTTGAAATGATAATATATTGGATATACTGAGTTAAATAAGACATATTCTTAAAATTAATTTTATCTGCATTTTTCTTTTTGCTTTCTAATAGTACTACAAAAATTTAAATTACATATGTGGCTCCCATTATATTTCCATTGGACAACCATACTTTAGGGCCCTGAGACAATCTTGTGAGCAAGAGTGATAAAATAGAACATTCACCCAAAGTTCTGCTAATAAAGAACTGAGGATGACAGGATTTTTCATCATTCCATAAAAGTATTTAGTTAATTCATCAACAATATATTACCTGATCCTCATGTATATAACGATCTTCACATTATTAAACCTTTTTTTCTACCTCTAAACATTTTAAAGACAAATTTCCAAATGTTTGACCAAATGAATGGGGGTTGGTAATGTTTACTGCAGCAATATATCACCAAGATATACATAATAAAAATGTTAAATGGCAGAGTTAAAAACAAATTTCACCACAATTATAAACAGGAAAATGTATCTTGCACTCAATGTTATACTGCTTGCTGCCCAGCCTACCAGGTACCAATGTGAGACTGGAGTGCCCACAGGCACTTGTAATCTATAATAATTCAATATATATGATGTACACAAATTCCTCCTTTCAAAACAACTTATTGTGGGGGGACTAAATGTATAAAAATTTAAACCTCTTGCTCCATGTCCTACTGCAGTTCCAGACCACTGGCATCAAATGATAGTAAGAAAAAATTGATACTGGCATGCTGCCAGTAGGGAAAACTGGAAGGAGAAACGAGAAGTGGGGGAGAAGCAGCAGCAAGTAAGAGAAAACAAGAAAGCAGATTAAGGAAAACCTAAGTAAAAAGATGAGGAAGGGGGGGAGGGAAGGAAAAGCAGAGGAACTAAAACTCGGAAGAGATGCGAAAATACACAGGTGGGAAGACAGAAGAAGGGGAAAACTGTGTAGGAGGGTGAATGGAAAGATGAAGATACAGGGAAGTCGAAAAATGGAGGAAAAAACCTCATCCATTTTAAATGTGAGGAAACTGAGGCCCAGAAAGAGATCAGGCAATTAGCCTCAGGTCATCCACTTAGTTGACACCAGATTTCTGGTTCAGTGCTCTTTTTCATGATGCCAGGTTGAGACCACAAGAGAAAGAGCTAGGGGGAAAGGGGATGAAGATTGACATGAAAGGGCAAAAGGCCTAACAAGAGAGGTGAGATCCAGGAGGGCAGAGACTGTTGAGTATGAACTCTGTTCTGGCAACCTTTGCCTCAAATGCCTCTTACACAACAAGCAGGGGACAGGCCAGCTACTTCAGTTTCCTGCTAGTATTGGTATTGTTTCACTGTTCACATAGATGACACACAGAATGTTCTGACTGCAAGGGAGCATGGACCAGAGGGTGAGCTCATCTTCCAAACATCTACCTAGCCAAGAGGCACACACACCTCCAGTTTCCTCCTGTGGATCACCTGACCGCCAGGCTAGTAGCCAAATTCTGGTTCCAGCCCAGTCACTTCAGTGGTGGCTTTCCAGACTTGGTTAGTAAGAGTTAAAATCAAATCAACAATTCTCAACCATCTAGATGATTTTCAAAGAAAAATGCCACTGTACTGTCAAACATTTTCTCTTTAGGCTAAGATAAGAATAAATAGTTGACTATCAAGAGTAACTACTTTTTACTTTTGCCTAGCATCTCCATCATCTTAAAAAAAAAACCAAGGTGGGTAGAAGTTGGATACCTTTTTTCTAAGACTTAAGCTCGACTTTCCCAAAAAAAGCCTAGCTTAGGGAAACAAAACTAAAATGCTAGTGAGTCAGAATCTTATTCAGATCCCACAGCTGAATAAGTGATGCTAGTAAAATAGTACATACCTTTTTTGTTTTTTTTCTACTACTAATCCCATAAGTATATGAAACTAGGTATAAAACACTTTTTAAGATGTAAGGATTTATTCAAAACTTCTTAACCTAAAATTTTATTTGAAGTTGGGCTTAACTGAAATAACTTTAGGTCACAAATTATGTTGATTTTAACACAAAACATGAAAAAAAACTACTCTCCCCAGTGGTCATGCTGTGCAACAGAACATACTTCTACTGAATTACCAATGAAGAAATGAGAAAACTAAAACATTTTGATTAGTGAAAATATCATGATGAAACTATTTCTTAAAGTCTCAGTCACAAAGAATTAATAATCTCTACCATAATTATTCTATAGTGAAGGAATGAACTCTAGTGCCTTCCTGCGTTTTCAAGGCCATTCATACATGACAGACACACACACACAAAAGGACCAAAGCCCACCTGAAACAGAGTCCTTAAGCCAGATGGATCTTTTATTATCTACACTAATGCATATAAAGTTTTTCTTCCCATATCTGGAACTACTTAAAGTTCACTGTTTACCTATGGAAACAATCCGAAAGTGACTGATACGCTTTCTTCAGAATCACGACAAAAATTTCGCTTGATACCACTCAGGTTTCTCAAACATTTGTAGTTTAACTGTTTATTGGATAATGGGTATTTAGTTTATTCAAGTTCCAGTGTTTCATTAATCCTCATACAATCCCAAAAACTCTAAAAAGGATAGCTAGTGACTATTTCCTTTGAGCTGTGAAAGAATGATCAAATGCAAACAGGTCTTTCTAAGGGACAGAGGAGGAAAAAAACGGTCTCCTGGAGTCAGAAGGCCAAGCTTAAAGTGACTCTCCCAATGATAATCTTCTTGAAGGCTTATATTTTAACTTTAAAATTCAACACATCTTGTATTCTGCTCTGATAATATAAGTATTTTGTAATATTAAAAAAGTGACTATCTGGTCAAAGTTTAAGGGTTAATGTACATTTACTGTACGGCCTAGAATATCCTCAGTGTATATATCCCAATTTAAGAAGTTTAGGACTAAATAATCTCTGAGGTCTAACCCTTCTGACACTAATGTTCTAGGTCAAACATTCACCCAATATTTTGAGACTAGAGAGAGAACACTGAGAGCTGTCTGTCTGTAGCAATCAAGTCTACCTGTTTGATCATTAAGAGAATAAAGCTAAACAGCCCAATCAAGGATCAGAAGAGCCATGGCTTGATTTGTCACAAATTCTAGACAACACTTGCAATAAAATAAAGCCAAAACAAGTGGAAAACCCTCTGCCCTGCTCAGAACCCCCATGTGGCTGCCTCACTGGGTGTATGTGTATGTCTGTATCCTGTTAATGACCACTGTTTAAACGTTTGTCTTTTTCTTCTCTTGTTTCACTCTCTGAATAGCAGTTTACAATAGCTCTGTTCCCACATTGACACTCAGGGGTGACACCCTAAGTATATAAACAATTTTATGTATTAGAGCTTTTTGTCATCCCATTTTGTTCACACCCAAGAAATCCTGTTCAAATGCAAGTCATATTATTATCTAATTCAAAATTAGTAAATACTTTTTTAAAGTGTGGTGCTTTAATCTTTTAGAAACATATTTTTTTGCTATAAACTCACAACTAATGAGCATGCTAGTGTATCACAACACTGAATGAGGCCAAGTGAAGGTGCTTCAGGAAACATAGTGTTGATTTTCTTCACTCCAGGTCAGAAGTAAGATGGCTTAAAATAGCCAAAGAAAACTACGACAAATAAATGAAGTGAGCAAGAGTTCATGATATTAACACAATCTAAAGAAAATTTCACTTAAGTGAAAATTATCACAAATTATGAGATCAGCATCATGTGGAGACCTGAGTCAATCATACTCTCATATTCCTTGACTCTTAAGAGGAATTTCTGCCTTCTACAGCTGGTTCTGCACAACATTCTAACTAAAAATTTTCTGGACCACTTGAAAAACTGGTGACTGTTGTTTTAATTATTTTGTTGCTGTAACTTTACCTCTTTCAAACAATTATTTATAATTTTTTCCTTCCTGTCCTCTTCTTCCATCTATATAAAAGAAGCACCACTGTATTTTTGATTAAGAACTTAGAAACCAGGTATTCAGTATTAATCTCTTGGAATATGTAGTTTGTTGGGGAGAATGTAAAAATTCAATCATATATAAAATTCATACAAAAAATAGGATCTCTAAGTTGTACAAAAGACATAAAAAATTGACACCCCGTATACATAACAATCATCAACAGTGAGAATCTGCTCATGTCTACAGCTGCTACACAGAGAAGCCAGGA